TAGTAATGAGATACAACTTATCAAAATTTGTGTGATACAACTAAAGCAGTACCTGAAGAAAAATTAATAGTTTTCATTGAAAAGACCAAGGAGACTCAAAATTGCTAAAATAACAATCTTCCTTTAATTGATCTTTAGAGTCTATGCAATTCCCATCAAAATAATAGCAGATTTTTTTTTTTAATGGAAAATGACAAGCTGAACAAAGGACACAGAATAACTAAGGAAAAACTGAAGAACAACAACACTGGATCCTTACACCATCACAAATCAAGACACAATATAATGCTACAGGAATTAAGACATAGTATAGTATTGGTGCAGGGATAGAAAATTGCACCAACAGAACACAGTCCAGAAAGAAACCCACACATACCCCTATAGCTCACTGGGGACGGGAGAGCAGTACACGATCTTTTTAATACATGATGTTGGGGCCAGTCAACTGGTTTTCCATATAAAGAAAAATGATATACCTTGACCATATGAAAATTAATTTGAAACAGATCAAGACCTAAATGTGAAAGCTAAAATAATTAAGCTCCTAAAAGAAAGCATTACAGAGTGTGTTCATTATTGTGGGAATAATAAGGGTTTCTTTCCTTTAAAAAAAATTCTTTTTACTGTTTATTTATTTTTGAGAGAGACAGGAGACAAAGTGCAAGCTGGGGAGGTGCAGAGAGAGAGGGAGACACAGAATCCGAAGCAGACTCCAGGCTTTGAGCTGTCAGCACAGAGCCAGATGTGGGGCTTGAACTCATGGACCATGAGATCATGACCCAAGCTGAAGTCGGACGCCCAACTGACTGAGCCACCCAGGTGCCCCACAAGGGTTTCTTAAATAGAACACAAAATGCATTAACCATAAGAAGAAAAAATGATAAATTTGACTTCCTTAAAATTAAGAACTTTTGTTATCAAAAGACATCAATAAGAATAAAAATGCAAGCCAAAGACTATACAAGTATCTGTACCCAATTTATATAAATCAGTAAGAAAAAATCAGACAACCAAATTTAATACTGGGCAAAAGCCTGGAACAGACACTTCATAAGGGAGGATATCAAAATGGCCACTAATTATACAAAAAGGTATTCAACATCATTAGTCATTAGAGAAATGTGGGGGGCCGGGCC